AAAATTTAACGAATTACATTAATGTCAATACAAGACCAAAAGACCACCGGATAGGAGCATATCATCTAGTTTTATGCWGACTTTTACTTAAATATTTTGGCAATCAGTACACCTTCTGTAGTTGGGACCAAATTGTTTGAAAAAAATAGAAATGACTTATACACCAATAAATTTTGCAACATCTAACAAATGAAATTTGGCAAGAAAATGTCGTTTTTCTATACTGTACCTGTTGAAGATCTCTTTTATGGTGATAAAAGTTGAGTACAGTATGTGAGCCYAAATTTATTGTAGACACTACAGGGTAGAAGAGTGGGCCATCTTCGTGAGGCTAAGAAACGAAAATAGTCAGTGCCATTTATGCGTTATGATGCATGATAATTTCAACAGTCAAACTCTGGACAATAGAGTACTCAAGTGTGATGTGACAAARATACTTTTTTTTCGATTTTTTTGGATTCGTTGAAATATCCATAAAGCACATGGAAAAAAGTAGCTGTCTATTAAATTTCAGTGTCCTAGTGCCATTTATAGCGGAGATAAAAACGATTTTATGGTCGGGTGCAAGGATGCATTAAAAATGATGCACTTTCAGAATATCAAGGGCAAATTTAAAAACTCAAAGATTTTCGTTTTGTGACGACATCACTTGAGTATTCTAATTGAAATAATTATTATTCTGGTCATTAGAAGATGTCCATCGATACACGACCGGAAGGCAATTTTTAAGAATGATGATAAGCTTACCATTATTCCCTGGCCGGGTTCATATTCATTTACAAGAACATGGTTTGGTGTGTTGCCATCAAATACTGGAAGAGATCCAATCTTCTCAGCATAAACCTTCAGCCACTAGAAAGATTCCAAGAAAAAAAAATTGCGTTCACTTCAAATATCATTATTTATGCCTGACTGAAAAAGGTAACTTTTTAATATAARCATAAATAAATAAATAAGTGTATAATAATTTGATGAACAAACATAATTATAATGAATGGATGAGCAAGTGAATGAACGAATTATACAGTGTTTTGCAARAAGTCTGCAAAAGTCAACAATATTTATAATAATGCATATATAACAGGGTGTATTGTGGGTAATTTCCACTGAAAAAATACTAAAACCCACTTTGAATCTCAAAAAAAGAAGCAATCTATTTTTGCTGATATCAGATTCCAAATGGATCAAGTCCCTGAACAATAATATTAGTAATATTAAAATTTTGGTATCATTGCAAAAGGTATCAGTGATCCTATGAATAACCAAAGTAAAATCAAGCTAAAGTTTATAGGGATGACTTATTGTTACACTCACTGGTGGAAGGTCTTCCTTAATCATACCCTTGGGAAAAAAGGAAGTCAGTGTTATTCAACTTAACAAATTATACATTCCATTTTTTGTATATCTGCACTAATCTACATAGATAATGGTGAMAAAATGTGATGAGAACAAAAAAGTACCCCACCAGGAGAAGAAGTAGTCTCTTTCAACAGCCGCGACTTCCGGTCTTGTCAAATTTCCCTCCCCAGAGACCGGAAGTCGCGGCTGTTGAAAGAGACTAGAGAAGAAGTAGTTGAGCAATGTATGACTTATCACATTTTGACATCATCAGTGTACTTATTATATGTACACATCATGGGAAAATGGACCCTATTTGTTTTATATAATTTTTTCCTAAAGCATTCATAACTTCATGGACATAGTGGAGGTGTACTGTCTGGTTCTGACCAATCACAGCACATGTAAGTAACATATGGTTCTCAACCAATAGACCCCTTGCAGTTCATGGGAATGCAGCTCCAACTGGAGGACAAAACAATGGATTCTAGTTCCCAAGAGGATAAAAATCTTTTGTTTTGTCCTCCAGATGAAGCTGCTTTGACGTCACATGCAAGGGGTCTATCCAACAGCATGTAATATCTTACCAAACATTTTATAACAAAAGATAATTAATAATAATGTGAATCATATTCTTGATGATATGTATAATTCTCCCAAAAGCAACCCCATCCTCTCGTGTTCAGATATAGAATGTCAGGTCAATTACCTTGGGATGTGGGAGCCCACCTAGCAACAAAGGTAAAAAAACGATAATTTTATTACTATGGTATCACAAAAAATATCAATTTGAGTGATATAGAAGAATTTAATAGTGAATACTGTACCCCAGTTCTGAAGCCTCCTGTCAGATAAAGATGTCCATTTTGGTTTTGGGGCTGAATAAACCTGTTTCAAACGTCATGGATTCATTATAATTATTTATGAGATATTGGTCCAAAGACCCATTATTCTTCAAGAGTATGTATGGTTCTTTACCCTGCGAGCAGAGTGTATTTCCTTACCTCAATAAAAATTCGCRAAGGAAAATTTATTCAGAAGCGCGCAGAAAAACCAGTTTGACTGAGGAAAAACTGGTCTTGACTAGCCCCAACTCTTGGGCTATCGGCAGATCAAAGAAATTAGAAGGTTTCGGCAGAGTGTAATTTTCCTTCGCGAATTTTTATTGAGGTAAGGAAATACACTCTGCTCGCAGGGTAATGGTTCTTGTGATGGAGGAATAAAACAATGCTCATTGTTTCCTAAACCAATTGGATAAGATCTTGCAAGATTGTGAACCCCCAAAGAGGGCCATCTAATTGGTCACTTGATTGAGTTTTATAGATTATTTTTATATGGTTGAAAGTCTATAAAAAATATCCATAATATGTATAATGCGCCTATCAATGTTTTGTCCTGGGTACAGAACTTGGCATCGACAACGATCTCCTCTAGACGGGATCGTTTAGTTGTGTGGTGTTAGTGTGAGCACTGTCCGGGCGTGTTTGCATGGGACTGGAAAGATCCTAGCACTACAATACTACTACTAGCACTCAACTTTACAACAAATGGATAGCTATTTTCACTGCTTTACTACAACTCAGTTTAAATTTTACCTTCGTCAATAGATGTTCCTCTTCGATTTTTGTGATGAAATTCGGAATATAGTAAACAAAATCAGGTGCCTAAAATAACGATTAAAGAAGTGTACAATACAATATACAAATTTATCAGTAATAGATGTCAATATAAACCTCTTTTATGTGATATTGATGTACATCTTCCATATTTTGTATCGGGTACTGCGGTTTTCATCAGGCGTTCCTCGACTTTATTGCGAAAAGCCTGGTACTGTCATCTCTATCTTGTTTTCTGAAGAAATTGTTTATCGTAGATTGATAGCAAAACAAATGAATACTACTGCATAACTGTCCTTAAGAGGAAAAAAATGATAAAAAGAATGAAGGAAACMTCAGTTTGAAAAATTCTGCGATAGCCGGGAATCGAACCCGGATCAACGGCTTGGGAAGCCGCCATGATAACCATTACACCACTATCGCAAGTCAGAGACAAGWTGGTGAATTTTTAGTTATTTATTACCAAACAAAAATGCTCTTTCTATCTWTAGCCTGACAACGCAGTCTACGTCGCCGAATCTTATTCAGATAAAAAAAACAGCATTTTGGTCCTTCAAACAAATGGTAGCTAGGACATGCTAGGAAGTGGAGGCGGGAAAAAAGCACAAAACATCTACAACAAATCCCGTCGCTCAAATTAACTTGAAATAAGTCCAGTATTGATTATTTAAGCAACAAGAAGTCAAATGTCAAAAAATAGTTACAAATTACTTACTTCTTGTGAAAAGATTGGGCTACCTGTGGTGTGTATTGCTGACCAGTATTGATTGCTGTCATAACCCACAATTCATTTCAAGTTCATATAAATTTGTCACTTCGWGAATAAACGTTCATTCTACGCGTATTTCGTTTGGTTTCTTAACAATTTTGAAGATAAAATAAGGAGTTTGACTTACGTCTTTACTCGGGATAAAGGCGCAGTCCCGAGAAATTGAAGTAACCATGAACCAAGACGACGAAAATCGCTACGGAGCGGGGACTTCACTTCAGGTGAGATAGGAAGAGTCCACCTATTTTAACCTTATAGATGTACTTCTTAATAAAGCAATATAAGTAAGCTTATAACCGTTGTTTAACAGTATCTAAAAAGAGTTTTTCCTATTCTATAACGTGCAGTTCAGTGGCATATATAATCTTTCTTTGTAAGAGATAAATTGTTTCGACTGCTAACTTGTACCTGTTATTTCAGACATTTTAATTTCATAAATATTAAAGTGACGCATTCAGCACAGTTATCTTGAATTTAGCTTACATTTGCGTGAGTTATTGTCACTGAAAWTGTGCTTGAATTGTTGAAGATTTGATATGAAAAATGGGTACATTACATTTAATAAATTGCTGCACTGTACTTGTAGTTCCACATACCCCCTACCCAAAATATGTTGCTAGCATTTAAAGAAAACATTTCAAACATGTAAGCAAATATTATTCAAACTCTTTTGACCAGTAAAGATGTTTTTTGTGTGGATTTGTTTCAGACGGGAATGATGGCTACTTCAAGTATCCCAGGAAGCCTTGCTGCCTATCCACCTACTCCTAGCCCCATGCCTCCTCTGACACCAATGACGCCTATGACCCCTATGAATGCCGATCAGTCTGGAATAATACCTCAGCTGCAGTAAGACACCTTTACATTGCTTTTTTGCATAAATTATAAAACACATGATGATTGGTTGATATTTACATCAAAATCTAGAGAAAATGTCTGCTGWTTTTAGTGATGCACATAAAACAACAAGCTTTTAAATAGACTTATGATTTTCTTGCTTATTGAATGCACTTTGTCGTATTCATTATGCATAATACAGTTTGTGTACAGCAGAGGATAGAATCATAGAGGTCATATTTTATTTGATTGTATTTCATTTTCTGTCAATCTAATATATTCATTGTTTAATTGACAGAAACATAGTTTCCACAGTAAACCTTGGTTGTAAACTAGACCTTAAGAAGATTGCACTCCATGCACGAAATGCTGAATATAATCCAAAGGTACAGTGCATTAGCAATGGTTTTTTCACTGTTGTACTCAATTTTTCATCAAATGGTCTAGTTGTTGTGGCAACTAGGATTTCAGTCAACAGGCCTTGGTATATTTCAAGGACAGACTTTCATGTCCTTAGACAAGGCACTTAAATCTCTCAGTGCATTATCTCCTTGGCATTCTGATATCTGTGGTTGTGTCTCTAAAGTACACTTGACATTAGCTTTGGAGGAAAAAAAAAGAACCCAGACCACTATTCCTCTAAGAGTATAGGGCTCAGAGTTCCCATTGGGCATTCCGAAATTCAAAAGGAGACTGGGAACAAGTGTGAAAATATTACATTCATCAAAAACTGAACATCACCACATGAAAAACCACACTAAAATAAGTGTTCTTGTCAAGTTTGAGCATATTTGGTTGAATACTCACCAAGTAGGATTTTTTTCAAATTTGTAAAAATAAGAGAGAATGTATGGTTTTTGGGTACGCTGATAAAAACCTCCATCTATTCTTTGTAATTTTTTTCGAGCTTTAAATGTCTTAAATACTTGAAACTCTGTAATTATTAATCCAAATACTCTCAAACTCAGCAGCTTTACTAATTTTAGTATGCTCTTTCTTATCCTTGTGTCTGTTTTTGATTGCTTCAAACGGTATTGAGTTTGTGTTTAGTCACCGGTCCCTTTTTGAATTTCGGAACGGGCAATTGGTATGGTCAGCGCTCAATTCCTCAAGCACACACTTAATTTGGAGACAAGCATTATTGTGTTTTCCTCACCATCTAGTGATAAAAGGATATGATCAAAAAATAAAAATCTTGAAGTGTACATGTACTCCTTTGCATTGAAGCAAGACAACTGTGTATGCAATGATTGAAACTTTACTAGACAATAATAATTGACAGACATCAGTCATTGTATGCTCATGCAATGGTTATATCCCTTGAAGCTCATTGCAAAGTCATGTGTCCATGTAGTACCATATTCAATAATGGTTCTTTGTCTTGCAGAGATTTGCTGCTGTCATCATGAGAATAAGAGATCCAAGAACCACTGCATTGATATTCAGCTCAGGAAAAATGGTTTGCACTGGTGCTAAAAGGTACAATTTAAGGGATTTATTTGTTTATAACAATAATGCTAACATGGGTACCCTGTGACATTTTTGATGACATGTTTCTCTCTTTAAAACAGTGAAGATCAGTCAAGACTTGCAGCTAGAAAATATGCCCGTGTTGTACAGAAGCTTGGTTTCCCGGTATGGTTATTAATAACTCAAATGATAGTCTCGGGAATTATTTTCTTATGTTTGAGTAGTCATGATTTTACATATATTAGTTTAATGTATTACTTCACAAGCATAGAGCCAATGAATTAAGGGTACACAGAATATACTAAACAGTATTTAAAACAGTTGTCATTATTCCTTAAAATGATTAAAAAGAATAACTATATTAATTTGAATTTTAAAATCCATTTCCCATTCTTCATGTATAATTTCGCATGATTACATTTCAAGACAAACAACATTTTCAATGAGAACAGTGTCTGTCTGGTAGCCCGACAAGGTGTTAAGTGACATCAAAGTCAACAATCAACTAATCAGTTCAGTTGCATGGGCAGATGCAGCTGGTAGTTGCACAGGTGCTCACCACTTAATGCGATTTTGTTTCCTTCATTACGTTTCCTTATTGTGTGTCTCCTTTGTGGTCATTTTTTGTGAAGTGCACCCTTAATGAATTTACCACCCCCCCCCCCCCCTTTGAAGGAAAATCATGGATCTGCCTATACAGTGGTACAGTTGGTTAGAACTATAAGCAAAGTTGTGGTGCATTAAGTACTTTTTATTGTAAATTTATTTAGTTGTAATTTTGTTATAGGCCAAGTTCACTGAATTCAAAATCCAGAATATGGTTGGTAGCTGTGATGTGAAGTTCCCAATCAGACTGGAGGGTTTGGTTYTAGCTCATGGACAGTTTTCAAGGTACAATGATTATCAATGAATATCATCCTAATATAAGAAACACCTTTCTCTTTATTGCATTATTGTTAAGACAACTTAATATATAACGCAACTACACTGAATGCAAGTTGTCCAACATGCACTTTATTGACACCATGCAACACTTAAAGGGACACTGTCGATGGCACGCATGCGCGAGTAAACTTGAAAACGCTAGGCTAGTGTTTTCAAGTTTATGACTCCAAGTTGGCGTGACATAAATCAGATCATAAACGTAAACAGATCTAGAATATTCCAAAGTGTGTCAAAAGCACCACAAAATGATTTACCTCGAAGGTTATACTTTCAAAGTCCGTTACAGGTGAGACTGTTACTGCGCATGCCATCCATTGACAGTGTCCCTTTAATCAGAAGACAAAAATGTGTAACACCATGCAACACTTAATTTTGTATACGTTTGTATTCTAATATGTGTGTTGTGACTTTTAGTTATGAACCAGAACTATTTCCTGGACTTATATATCGAATGGTTAAACCAAGGATTGTACTGCTCATCTTTGTGTCTGGCAAGGTTGTTCTTACAGGTAAGAGTTAACCTACTGAATGCCTACTCCTGCTTTGTGATACAACAGAAATGTAAATAACATAATGTTATATACAAGGCAAAGAGTTTTATCTTTCTTTCTTTTTGGAGGGGGGGAGGGGGATTTGAATTTAGTTATCAATAACTTACATTTAGATCAATGTAAACAAAGCTGTTGTTTACTATTAAATCCTAGTCAAAAGAAGAAACAGTGTTTTTCTGTTGTATATTTTTCAGGTGCCAAAGTACGAGATGAGATCTATGAGGCATTTGACAACATATATCCCATCTTAAAGACATTCAGGAAAACTTGATTGTGTTTCAATATTTGGCAGAACCATGCTATTTATATATTTTTGTACAGCCAATTCTCTACTTGCACATGACCCATAATACCTTCTGATTTTGGGGGGTAGGTTTTGTGATGCAAATAAAATTAATTGTTATTCAAATATAAATGATTTCAATAATAATAACTACCCCCCAAAATCAGAAGGTATTATGGGTATGCGCAAGTAGAGAATATGATGTAATAGAATGTTTTCAAATTATATACATGTACATACATGTTCTAAATACAATGTTTTGCTAATTATTAATCTGAACAAACATTTAGTTGGTTTATCTAGATATTGTTTGTACGAGCAGCTCAAGCGGCCTCCTTTGCAGGGAACTCTACTCATTGGGATTCCTGTGTTTAGGCAAAAAAAGCTGCCAGAGCGGGAGGCAGTTAGGAAGGAAGGAAAAGCAGTTTTTCATAAGGGGGGGGCCTACGTAGCACGCAGTTGATGTAATGTATTCATAAAATGTATTGTATTCCATTGTTTCTTGTTCTATTGTAATACTGTATGTGTTTTTTATTATATCTTTATGAATACATTACATCAACTGAATGCTACATAGTCTCTCCCTTTTTCTTCCCGGTCAAGATTATTAACACAGGAAGACCAAGAAGAGAAAAAAGTCTGTTTCCATTGGAGTAGTCTGCTTTATCTGAAGGTCTTATAAATCTAAATGAAATGCATTCAAAGGATGAAAAGACAGTTTGTTTCACTGTAGGGTGCTGAAACTTCATATTGATGTGGAAATAAATTAAAGGCCCAGTTTGCACCATCATGCTTTGCGTGCCTTTGTTATTGTTATGATTAATTACACCAAAATACTTCTAGTATCCAAATATCACCATAAAACAAATTTCAGATGGTTGAAAACTCTTATATTAGCATTTAAAGTGCTTAAAAAAGTGAGATGGTCAAAGATCAAAACACACAGTACAATTTATAGACTTTTGGTAAACTGAAAATGGCTGCCTCCCTGCCCCCAAAGCATACACACTGGGCCTTTAAGCACAAAACAATGTGTGAGTTTGAATGCATTGAATTGAGATTTACCAGAACAAGAAAAACTAACAATTGATGAGCTTGGGCTACCAAAATTGCCAATAGAGTGCATAATTATGTCTCTAAAATAGAATGAACGCATTTAATCTGTGCAACTGTACAAAATCTAAGTAGTACTAATTTGTATTAAAAGTGGACAGCATTGAATGCTTCATTTGTAGCAATTCAATTTAATTTGCATATCACATACACGATTTACTAAATACAACTAAACATCACATTTAGTTGTACAGTTGCACAGATTAAGTATGATCACTCTACTTCGTAAAAATTAGTTTTGCACTGCAGAATCAAAGAATAAAAGACTAACTATTTCATGGATATAGTGAATGCACTCTGTTGTATTTAAAAGTAGAAATTGTAATGTTAAAAAATGTTGATTACCCCAGTATAGAGTTAGTAATAAATTATTTCATTTGTTATATAACATGTATTGGTTTGCAGTTGTGGTGTTTCACTTACATGTAAAGCTTCTTAAACTAATTAAGTCTACATTTTTTTCCTTCTGCTTCAATACTGGAAAATATTGTTTTGGATTCATTTGTACAAGTATACTGCCGTGCTATCTGAAAATGTATTACTCTATAATTAATATRCAATTGGCCACTAAAGTTGTTTATTATATAGATGATTTCTAACGTGTGCTATGATTGGCCAAAAAAGTTTGGTTTATGAGAGTATGAACCACAATTGTGCGCGAGCGATTTTTGAAAAAGGCAACAAAATGGATGTTTGCTCAAAATCTATATTCAGCTCGTGCTTCTGGACATTTTCTCGTGTGTTTCAAATACCAAGCGTGCGTTTATCAGTATAAACCATGGCTGAGCCTTATTTATTTGTTAAATATTTTTCAAAGACTGGAAACTACCTGATAAACTAGCCTTCATAAACAAGACAAACTGTTAAGTTCCTACCAACCTTTATAATTCAATAACAAATTTTCCACAAAAATTTTGTTGTTTATCAGTTTATGCTGGGACAGTTTCCTATGGAAATAATGGGATATCCCTTAAAACTTTGTAGTTGAGCTTTTTTTCTCAGCACATCCACTTTCCGTGGGTAACTATCACAACATAACGGCGTTGATCCAATTACTCAATTGTTTAATATGAAAATGTTCATTATATTTTCCAAGCAAGATGAAATGGAACTGGGCAGAGTGTGAGGCAGGTCAGTCAATATTCCTTTTTCCTCATCAAAGTGTGTAAAAAAAGACAGTAAAAATATTTCCCTGACAAGTATGCCTACTGCTGACTTCTAATATAGCAATGATTGCTGCACTGGCATAAGTGTGTACTTCTTTTGTCATTATCTGTTAGTGCAAAGTTCTGCAARCCAGATTCTATTGAATGCGTACTGTTGAATGTGGTAAGACCAGGGCATCCCTTTTCAATCAATTCAAACAAACACGGACTGCTTTTACCTTGAAGAAAGTTGAAAACGCTGACAGCAATAAATGTGTGCAAATTTGGTAAGCTCAGTTCCTTGATTCGCAATCCCTTYGAATAAGAGTAATCTAAGTGTTCTAAGGAATTAGACTTGAGAACATAGCCAGAAAAATCATCATCTAAATTCTGTCGCACTTTTAGTTTGAGTATCTTGAGCTTTGGCAAAGAAAATAAAATGATCTCTATTGGTCTAAGATGATTCTCATCTACCATTGTATACTCTAGTTSGTCCAGGTAATATAATTCTAAGTGTTGAATGTTTTTAAAATTTCCAAGCATMCTTGTAGTAGYGCACGAACCATCAAGTTGAGTTTTAAGAAAATAGATATTTGGGCTACAAGCTGACAATTTTGCAAGGATTTYCCTGAAACATCTTAATGTTGCCTCTCCTCTTTCTGGGTAGAGGACTGACCAGTAAAAAGTCCATTTTATTTCCACATATTTTAACTCTTTTGAGCAGCAACTCTGAACTAAATCGCTGAATGTGTTAAGTTCTCTGTAGATGTCACAGTATAGTCCAAGATGAGACAGCCTTGCTCYTCGTYGAGCAAGAAACTCGGCAAACATCCTTCTGCGAGAGACGATACACATTTTTGTGAACTTMCGGAGATAGCTAGACAAGCGAAAATCAGCAACTCGCCACAAACGAGGACTTAAGGAAATAGCGTAGAATCGTTTGCAAACAATCATCAATTTGCATATGTCTTGTGGCTCTTTGCTAAGCTTTTCAAATATCATTAACAGGCATTCATCTGGCAAATGTAGAAGCGAAAGACCTGCGTCGGAGAGTTTTCCTTCATTCTGTACTTCATTACCTTCCAATCGAATAAGTCTTTTACCCTTCCTGACCCACGTCTTTGATATCTCTTTCCTTCTTTTCTGCCTAACCATGYCTAAAATGGAACAGCGCCAAAGATAACGAATCCAAAAAGATAATAATTAATGTTCTGATATAGTTCTTCCGCCATTTTGAAAATGCTGCAGCAGCATCGAAGAASGAGCGTTGATTGGTGGAGCTCAGAATTTCCCGTGATGCAATCTGGAATGCTACAGGGTCACTACTTCATGTGAAATCCATCTATTAGTCCATAACATTTTAGAGACATTTTTATCATCGTTATCATAGCCTGTGTACATCCGTTTCCTCACCTGTCCATAAAAATTGGAGGGGTGAGAAACGGATGTACACAGGCTATTTTATCAGGGGGAGGTTAAAAATTCATGGGGTAAAAATTCGGTCTATACACACAGCAAGTCTAGTGCTGGATTTTAGGAACAGGGTATATAATCTGATATAATAGTTTTCAGCAATTTTACCCTGGAACAGGGTCAGGGTTTTGACGTCCGAGCAACACACCCCCACCCGACTTGGAAATATCGAATTTTGTCTAGAAAACTAGAAGAAAACTAAACTACATAATGCAGCACTTTGTGCGTGTGTCTCTGTCTTCTATCAGATATATAGATGGTAGGAGATGGTCACACAACCTCTTGCTCGTGTTTCCAAGTATGATTCTCTTGTGTTCTCCATGACCATTGTGTTCATATCATGCATTCAGTGGCACTTATTTAACACAGAAGTAATCAGAGTCATGTAATGATGCAACATCTCCATCTCAACAAATAGGTAGTTTCATGCTACCAGTCAACTCAGTCGACTTTATTCATAAACTCACAAACTACACAAGGTTTTAAAAAGTTTAAGTATTTACAGTAAGTAGATTATATATTTACTATAAAAGCAAGCAAGCAAACAATAAATTCATTTTGAAATTGACTGCATGCTTTATATTTGATTCAATATGCATGTATGCCATTCCCTATAATAAAATCATTAACACAAGATCACCCTAAAATTCGCTAAAATGCTTAAATTATGCACAGTGCTGCCTGGCATGTGAAAGTTGGCAAAAATGGCTATATATTGTAACATTAAAGCTTGTTCATCAACTCAAAGCCACTCTAACCAAAAGGCTTATTGTCATCTCCACCCTCTCGTATATAGGAGTTGCTTGTTTGAAGACTTAGAARGTATTACATTTCATTAGCTGCACGACGTCGTATCATGTTATGTACAATAAAATTGTGATTATTGCAATTGCATATCCTCATGTCAATTTTCTCTCTGTKACTCAGAGAGAAATTTTGCAGACCAGGACTTGTTGTGTTCTCATAATYATTAATTCTTGTTAGGCTAGGGCAACCTTCCTCGATCACTTCAAACAAACAAGGGCAAACAACTCCTTGTGGAAAACTGCAAACTTTGAAAGCCACAATAGTATGTAACTGTGGCAATCTCATTTCCTTAATAAGCAAATTGTATGATGCAGAAAAATCAAAATATTTCAAAGAGTCAGATTTTAGAACGTAGCCATCAAAACCATCAACCACTGCTAGATCTACATGAAGTTTAAAGTTCTCAAGTTTTCTTAGGTAAAACAAAATGATTTCTATTGGTCCAGCGCAAGAATCAGCAGAACTCATTTCGTTGTCAAGTTTATTGAATACGAATTTGACATATAAATGGACAATGTTGGTGAGCCGGATCCCAAGCATCCTTGCGGTTRCACATGACCCGTCCAGTTGAATAAAAAGAAGACTGATGCCTGGACAACTAGCTGACAATCTTTTAAAGACTTCTCTGAAACACTTTGTTAGTCTTTCTTCTTCACAGGCATCATAACGMTTTGGCCATTTCCATTCAATCCAATTAAAATCAACATGTGTCAATTCTTTTGAGCAGCAATTCCAAATCAAWTTTTTGGCAGAGTGAAATTCGTTGGAGAGATTGCAGAATAATCTGAGGCTAGTCAGCTTTGCTTTTCGTTTTACTAAAAACTGGGCAAACAGCTCTCTACGTTTGACGTTTTCCGGGCCCAGAATGTTTGACCATTGCACCATGGATAATRATGATTYTAWCATCCATRAKTTCACATGTTTTTCTTCATAATCTGTACAAAACGAGAGGTCAGCACGCTGCCATAAGCGGGAATTACTGTAACAAATCTCATAAAATCTTTTACAGACAGTCATTATTTTAGCTAGTTCAAAAGGATGTCGACTAAATGCGTCCAACACCATTGTTATGCATTCATCTGGTAGATCTAGAAGGGAAAGAACTCGCTTCTTTGTCGTGGAATTGGGTGAGATGTTAGCTGAGCTAGGCAGAGCGTGTTCTTTTTTATCTTCTTCTTCGTCGTTCGATCGTAGTCTTTTTCCATTTCCATCACAACAAGCCATGGTTGTTTCTTTCCTTACTTCTTCTGCAGCCATGTTTTTTACGAAAGAATAGCGGAGAAATTAGGAATATGATTTATGTACAACACTCGCAAAATGGCATCTTCCAGATCGATGGCATCATTTAATTGGCTGCTCATTGGCTGATCCTCCACATCCCAAAAATGATGCACAGGGAGCCCAAGTGCCACTATATATTTTTTTAAACCCATAATGCATTGTGACACTGAATAAAACAAAAGTAGACTATTCTTTAAGTAAAATTTTATTTTAACAATTATAGGTTCAAAGTCATTGCTTGGGATCCCTGTGAAAGACGAAGATCTGGCCCGGACCGACGCCAGGACCCCGGACTAAAACTTAGCAGTCTCTCCTTTTAGATCTTTTAGAGTGATCATTGTCACTCTCTCAGTCTATATAATATGGTTGGGAGATCTTTTTAAACCCATTTATAATGCATACTAAGGCTAAATAAAATAAAAGTAAACCATTTTTAGAAGTAAAATGTTTTTTTTAACTAATAGATTCAAAGTTATTGCTTGGGCTCCCTGTTTCCGAGTAATTTTTACGCATTTTTAAGTGTTTTTGCAACATCCAAAAGTGCTGTATTTCATCAATAAAYGCGCGGCAAGTAAGGGTTTGTAGACACAGGCAACCCAAACTAAGCATTTGACTAGCTGATTTACCAATACATATCTATAATGGATGTAAATATGAAATTTTTGAATAAAAACATTTTTCTTACCTGGMAATGTGGTTAATTCATTTATGAATTGAGGCATAAATTGTTATTTGTCTTGATATCTCTCCCTCTACATTTATATCACTGAAGAAAATATCATGTTTTCATACATTATGTATTGCCTGAATCAGCTTAGTCAAATGCTTTCTTGGGTTGCCTGCATTGCAGTCTTGCTGTTTTGCCCTTTTTTGGTGTCTTTCTTTTTCACATTTTCACTTAATAATAATATYAGTAACATGAGGGCAACCTTCCTCAATAAGTTCAAACAAACAACGACAATGCCTACCTGGAAAATAGCTATAGGCTTCAAAAACCACAATAGTGTGCAATTTTGGAAATCTAATTTCTCTAACTTGCAAATTTTTTGACATAGAGAAATCTAAATATTTCAAGGAGTCAGACTTTAAGACATGACCATGAAAATATTCATCTACTCCTAACTCCACGTAACCTGAAACTTTTAATGTATCAAGTTTAGGTAAGGAGGATAAAATGATTTCTATTGGTCTTGGAGAATCCTCATCAACAATCTCATACTCTAGACAATAATCTAGGAAATTCACTTCTAGGTGATGAACATTGCTGAGATTTCCAAGCATCTTTGTTGTTGAGCATGAAGTATCCAGCTCGGTTTTAAAACAATAAATGTCTGGACTACAGACTGACAATTTTTCCAATAATTGTTTGAAAGATGTTAGGATTTTTACATGGTATTCCGTCATCACCGGCGGCCATTCTAAAGTCCATATAATTTCTGCAATTCTTAATTCTGTTGAGCAACACTTCAAAATCAAATCAGTTAGAAAGTGAAGCTCCCTTGAGATGGCACACTTTAGTCTAAGAACTTTCAACCTTGCTCTTTTTTGGACTAAGAACTGAGCAAATCTTTCTCTACGTCTGATGGAGGAAGTTTGCATATTGGAACTTGCAGAACTTGAACTTGTAAAATCAGCATATCGCCATAAATGGCGATTGCTAGTACAAATATCATAGAACCTCTTACAAACTGTCATTATTTTACCCAGTTCATGTGGTTCCCGATGAAGCTTGTCAAGTACATTTAATATGCATTCATCTGGCAAATCTAGAAGGGAAAGATCTTGGTGTCTTGACTCATACAAATATTCCTCACTTTGAACTTCTTTTTCCTCCATTCTGTGGAAATTCCTAGACCAGAGCTTGCCTTTTTCACATATTTTTTCGCCTTTTATTTCCTTAGCAGCATRTAACTAAGAAAACACATGGTAGACATCCCGGTAGACATGCACAACTCGCACAACTCTTTATTTACAGTCGGCCATTTTGGAAATGCAGAACGAGCGCGGACTGGTACAACACATCTCCAAGGTAACGGCCGTCATTTTGTTTAAAACAACACGACCTTCGTCTTGGATGAAATTGAGCAAAATAAATCACAACATAGCTTATTATAGAGAAAGAACAGCTCAGAAATGGTAAGGTTATCCTCTCGATGATATATCTTCAGAAACTGGATCTTTTTCTTATTTAACTATGATGTTTTCTGGCTTTCTCAGTCAAAGGGAACGACTATAAAAGATGCAATTGCTAAATGGGTTAGTAGACGTAACTAAGTTTCTTTTTGAACATCTTTAGTACTAACTTTGCTTTGAAAAAGTGTTGTGTTTGTATAGCAAGACTTAATTTTTGTCTTGACGTATACTCTTAGTTCTTTTGTATAATGACTGTGTTATGGATTTGTTTTTACAGGAAGCTAAAGAGGGGAAGAAAGCAGCAGAAGCAACMGAAATAAAACTTTATGCTCAATATCCTCCAGTTGAAAAAATGGACGCATCATTGTCAACCTTAACTGCCTGCACGTATGTTAATGTTACTTGTTAGACCTCTATCTGCCCTTATACCCCCCACCCGATAAAATAATGAACGGTCCCAAAGAGAGCRAAWAAGCTTAAATGWWATACATGTGCGTTCCATCAAGTGAGACACTATGGCAGCACAACACAAGTAGCCATCCAGCCATTATTGATCATATTCACCCATTCCCATGACATTCAAAAGATAAAAGACTGGCGGCCATATTGGAGGAATGAACAATAGATACTAATGAGAAATCCTTTGTTAATTTCCACCAAGATGGCCGCTGTGACGTAACCTGCAAACGAAGAATTGAAAAGAAAGATTGTAGTGTGAATCAGTACTAACTCCTACATGTAGGGATTGTGTGTTGAGTTTTTTATAGACGTGAGAAGTGGTGTGTGCTCAATTAATTGTTATTGTTTTCATATTGATAGTGGTTACTAGTATATTGGTAGAATATAGGGGTCTTAGTCATAGTAAAACTATGTGAACACTTAACTAAGTCTCCCTTTTTTGTCTCTTATTCAACAGAAAACTCTCATTATCAACCAACTGTATTGAGAAGATTGCTAATCTCAATGGACTAAGTATGTGCTGGCATAGTATTAGTATAAGAAATCACATGACCTGGAGTACAATTTGGAATTAATAGTCACGAGTTATGTTTTGAAAGTTYTTCGTAACTGCATGAGCCCGATATGAGAGGTCATGTAATTTTTGTTAATGTACATTCAGTGAAACAAATTTTATAAGCAGTAAAATTAATGCTGTAAATTGTACTTGTCTTGCAACATTGCTGTATAATAAGTTGCACGTTTTACTACTGCCGAACCATAAATTGTCACGCATCAAAATATTTTTTTGCAAGTCTGCAAGTCTGCAAGTCAAAGAAATCCCTATTTCTGATCCTGGAGGGACCCTGTTTCTGATCATGGGAGGATCAATATYGATGCACTTTTTCTCTTTTCCGGCACCCTAACAGATTGCAGAAAATGCATATATCCAGAAACTCAAATTTTGCACCCTAAATGATTCCCAATCAAGAGATTTTACCTGTAAGAGATCCAACGAGACTTCCCCGGCCCCCCCTCCAGGTTCTGATCAGACAATGCAGACAGCTGATTGTCATGCGATGTTATTTTGCTGCAAGACAAGCTGGATTGTTGTGGAACTAAGTGCAATACTGACGGATTTTATTGCAAACGTTACAGAACAATGTTCCAATATTTTTCATGTATGATTATTGCAGAAAACCTTAAAATTCTGTCCCTTGGAAGAAATAATATCAAGAATCTCAATGGTTTGGTGAGTACAGAGCTAAGTATATTTGTAGCTATTTCTTTTTATGTTCCTCCTAGAGGAGAGGGGGTCTGACGTTTTATATCGATGTCTTTTACATAAATTCTCCCACCCCACCCCACCCCCTTCTAAGGTCACTTTTTGGAGTATGACTTTGCCTTGGCGCCTGCTGGACAGACAACCCAGATTTTATTAYATTATTCTACAATCCTTCCACTTATTTATCCTTAAACTGAAAAAAAAAATGCTATTTACAATCATCTTTTGCGTTGCCCACTACAAAAAAACAAGAGATAAAAAACCYGGAGGAGAAACCTCTGAAAACGTAGTCCTCTCGTCCGATGCGAACGCAATGCTTCGTGGGCTAAAGCACGAGTTAAGAATACGAAAACCTAACACAAATATATATATCATATACATATATAATGCTAAACAGCTTAGAATAATAACTAATATTACTTGACAACCCTAAATCCAGTTAAGTTCCGTTACACRAATATCCTGGCGCATTGTACGCGTCCAACAAGYGAGAGTGAACAAACATATTTTCATCAATCTTTTATACGTTATCGTTAATCCATATATTGTTCTATTTACAATACAATCCATGAAATATTTCACTAAATGTGACTAAGTGCTTTGAACCGTAATGAATACGCTTTCCAACTCACGCTGTTACGTTGGAAAGCATTAATAATCTTTATATATATAGGAAGCTGTTTCTGATACCCTGGAAGAACTGTGGATATCATACAATTTGATTGAAAAGCTGAAAGGTATTGGTGTACTTAAGAAACTGAAGGTAATTGTTTTACAGGGAATTAAAGATGGTATTGAGATAATGAAATAACATAAAATAATGAAACTAATTGCAATAGCCTAGAGACATTGTTCTTGTGTGGATTATTCTATGCCCTGTACAAATTCTCAAAACTCCTCCTTTGGACTTCCTGTGTAATGGTGCCATTGACCACTCTACACCAGTAGTACTCTAGGAGGGGGAGGSTATGGAAAGACCAGTCCTGATACAAATATTTCTTTTTGTATTTAAATTTCATTTATCAAATATAATGCTAGCAAAAGTCTTACAGTAATTGGGTCAAGAGAAAGAGAAAATCTTACCATGATGAGAACAGTTCAAATCTTTTTATATTATAGCTCAATTTTAACGCGCACTGATTGGCAGATTTCATGAGAAAAGCTATGGTTTATTTTGCCAGTAAACCAAAACCAGGCTGCTGTCTTGAAAAACTTGAGTCTAAATGGCGGACCCGGCTATAATATAAAAGCAATAAACGATAGCTTGAAGTGGTTTACTAGCGAAATAAACCATTTGGGATGGTTGGGAGAACACTTGAAAAGGTAAATCACGAGCCTTGATCTTTTCTCGTGTTCTCCCAACCATCCTGCACAGTTTATTTYGCCAGTAAATCCCTTCAAGCTATTGTTTATTGCTTAAATAATTTACTAAATTACAAATTTTTAAATTAATATTCAAAAGTTCACTGTATGGTAGATAGTAAGATCTGCTTTTTCTCTATGTTTCATACAAAGTCTGGAAGGGAAAACGGAGAGAAGAGAAAAGGGGAGAGGCCCTTGTTTTTCCTTCTCCCTCTCCCCAGGCCCCCTTGAAGGCCTGATACTATGGTCAACTTATTCTCCAATGTCAGTTTTTATCATTGAATATTGTTAGGTTCTATATATGTCCAACAATCAAGTCAAAGTCTGGGATGAGTTCCAAAAGCTTGTAAGTATAATTATGATGTAGTTGGGTCAAGTAAGTGGAAGAGATAGGGTTCGAGTCCAACAGGGGTATTTATCAGTACACTTTTTATCAGCAATATTCGTTACTCAGTACATGATTTTGGGTGTCGGAAATATATTCTATTTTAAAGTCTAATTTCCTATGCACTTCAATAGTCAACCATATTTAAAAAAGAAACTATTCTTCGTCACCTCAGAATCAAGAATCCAATGCATTAGGAAGGAGTCTTCAGTAAGGTTTACTTGAAAGTAAAAATTTAACACAACGCTTTATGTCTATTTGTAGTATGAGCTTCCTTTGCTAGAAGATCTTCTTTTTGTTGGTAAGTAGTTATTAAAGTTTCCCAGCTCGGTTTTACATCCATGCTACACTGTGCATTAGACGTCTGTAGCTTTTACAACATATACAGTCAACGCAATGCATTGTAGGATATGTTTGGGTCAAAACATGACACGGTTTTTTTAATGTTCAGCAAGGCACAGCGTGTTTCACTATGGACAACTAAATTGAAACTTATGCTATGTGTTTTTTTTAGGAAATCCATTAGAGGAGACACAAACAGCGGCCGGAACRTGGCGCGATGAAGCAACAAAAAGACTACCAAAGCTAAAGAAACTCGATGGTATGCTTATATACAATGGTTGACAAAATATATATATATTTTTTTATTAGCTTTGCCCCTAGTATGGGCAGGGACATCGCAACAGCGTGAGCCAATTACTGCGGACCCTGTACTCTCACACTCACTACCTCTACATTAAATACTTAAAAGTATTTTAGCACACAACACTCCTCACATGTTGATTTTTGCTGAGGGAGGAAAACCGGAGGACCCGGAGAAAAACCCTCGTGGCAAGGGAGAGAACAACACATCAAACAAACTCAAACTCACATATGGTCCGTGYCCGGGAATCGAACCCGGACCACAACGGTTAGAGGCCAGTAGCTTAAACCCCTAGGCCACCCATGACACCCATACCTTGGACCATAGCGTTCTTTTTGCACAATATCTGTAATTATATTCGTGTATCTCAGTATTTATCCCTCCATACCCCCCTGGAGCAATGTTGCTAGTGACCTTGGATGCTTTTGTCGTTTGGACAGCCGCAAAACGATCACATTGCAACCATTTCCACACAACATTGCTTGTAGGGGGTCAAGGGAGATGCATTTCTTATATGGTAATGCTAAAAATAGCTAAGTTTAAAATTATGGTCCAAGGTTTTTGGCAACGATTGTAGATCTCTGAATTCAGCTTTTCTTGCTTGTTAAATTAAAATTTAATTTTGATGCTCCTGAGTCACTTGTCCATTAATTGATTTAGGAAAATTACAAAAATCATGTCATTAACAGTAAATCAAGTTTGTGACTACAATTTYGTATTCCCAGCATCTCGTCAAGATAGTACTACATTTTTCAAGATAATGTCATTTCTTTTCATTTGTTTGTTTTTCTTTTCTCAGGAGTCCCAGTCGTCAAAGAAGAAGAAGAAGAGCAAGAGGAAGAAGGCTGACCTCTTACATTTCATCGAGGTGTAAACATATTGTACAAAGATAATTTTTCGTTTCTTGATCATTATTTTACTTRTATTCATTGTAAAGACAGTACATATACGATATTTGGTCGTGTTGTATTCTGAGAACTCTCAGAGCGGTATGTACATTTAGGCTTCCTGTAAATTATTCCTTTTAAACCTTTGAACATAGATTTGAATTTTTTCAGCTTGCAGTTGTTTTAGTTAAATATTGTTAG